GCAGCAAGAGCTGCAGCAAGAGCTGCAGCAAGAGCTGCAGCAAGAGCTGCAGCAAGAGCTGCAGCAAGAGCTGCAGCAAGAGCTGCAGTAGCAGCAAGAGCTGCAGCAAGAGCTGCAGCAAGAGCTGCAGTAGCGGCAAGAGCTGCAGCAAGAGCTGCAGCAGCAGCACCAGCTGCGGCAGGAGCTGCAGCCGCAGCTGCGGCAAGAGCTGCAGCAGCTGCAGCAAGAACTGCAGCAGCAGCAACAGTGGCAGCAGCAGCTGCAGCATGAGCCGCAGCAGCAGCAGTAGTTGTAGTAGCAGCAGCTGCAGCAAGAACTGCAGCAGCAGCAACAGTGGCAGCAGCAGCTGCAGCACGAGCCGCAGCAGCAGCAGTAGTTGTAGTAGTAGCAGCAGCAGCAGCAGCAGCAGCAGCAGCAGTAGCAGCAAAGCTTGGTCTCCAGATTTGTTTCTTTTCTTTGTTTGGAGGCCTTCTCAGCTTTTTGTTTTTGAATAAAAATAAATTTCTTTTTTTGCATGCATTTATATTTGCTGCTGCTTTTGGGAGTTCTTTTGAATTAAATTTATTTTATTTTGTTTTCATTTATTCTTTTGAATTAAATTTATTTTATTTTGTTTTCATTTATTCTTTTAAATTTATTTTATTTTATTTTCATTTATTCTTTTAAATAAATTAATTTTAAATTAATTCTTTTAAATTCAATTTATTTCGTTTTCAATTTTTAATTTATTTCTCAAAATTTAAATTTAAAAATAATAAAATTATTTTGTTTGTATCTTTAAAACAAAAGAACTTTAAAAATATATTTTTGATTTTTTAAAAAAATAAATATTTTTTTAATTTAAAATAAATAAATAAATGTTTGTTCAACTAGTTACATTTTGCAGCAGCAATACTCCGCTGCAGCAGCAGCAACAGCAGCAGCAGCAGCAACAGCAGCAGCAACAGCAGCAGCAGCAGCAAGGGGAGCGGCAATAGCATCAACAGCAACAATAACAACAGCAGCAGCAGCAGCAGCAACGGCAGCAGCAGCAGCTGCTGCAGCAGCAGCTGCTGCAGCAGCAGAAAAGCGCATAAAAAGTTTTCTTGTCAGTTGAAGCAGCAAAAAGTTTATTTTGAAAAACATTTTGCAACTTTGTAAATATTTAAAAACATTTTTTGAATTTCTTATTTTGTTTTCAGTTTTAAAACTCTAGCATGTGCCTGCTTGTGCTGCTGCTGTTGCTGCTGCTGCTGTTGCTGCTGCTGCTGTTGCTGCTGCTGCTGCTGCTCATGCTGCTGCATGTCCCCGCAGGGGAGCTGTTGGCAGCCAGCAGCAGCAGCTAAACCCTAAACCCTAAACCCTAGTTTCAATGCTCGCGGTGTCAGGGCCTAATGAGCTTCATTGGGAGGCTCCTGGCGTGGAAGCGCTAAACCCTAAAAAAGGGTTTAGGGTTTAGGGTTTGCACGGGTCCGCCGACGCATGCACGGCAGTCTGTGCTTTGCAAATTTGCGCAGGGCGAGCCTTTTAAAGTGCAGTTGGAATTATTTAAAAATAAAAATAAAAATAAAATATAATTTTTAATTTAAAAATGAAATAAATAAAAGAAAAGAGAAACAACTGCAGCAGCAACAGCGTTGAGGGGAGACGCAGCGGGGCTGCTGCGGCAGCGCATGCAAACCCGAGGGTTTAGGGTTTAGGGTTTAGGGTTTAGGGTTTAGGGTTTGGGGTGTTTTATCTCTTTCGTTTTAGTTGTTGAGGGGGTTTTGTAATTGAACTTTGGAAAGAAAGTTCTTTTGCTGTTGGTCTTTGTCAGGTGTACATACACCCCAGCTGCTGCTACACTGAAACTCCTTCAGCAAAGCTTTTCACTTTCTTTCTTTTCTTCTCCAGCTTTTATATCTTTTTATTATTTATAATTCACCATTTATTATTTCTTATTTCTTTTTGTCCGGCCTCAGCTGCTGCTGCTGCTGCTGCTGCTGCTGCTGCTGCTGCTGCTTTGAGTCTGGTGTCAGCAGCAGAAGTTCGAGGCGAAGCGGCTCAGGGCCTTTTGTCTGGGAGGAGCAGCTCCTCCTTATTCCCTAAATTAGGGTTTAGGGCTTAGGGTTTAGGGTTTAGGGTTTAGGGTTTAGGGTTTGTGCAAGATGGCGGACCTCGACCAGTCGATTGAACAATGGAAAATCAAACAACTTATCAAAACCCTGCAAGCAGCAAGAGGGTAAATCTCCCAAACCCTAAACCCTAAACCCTAAACCCTAATGCCCGTATCGGCCCCAAACCCTAAACCCTAAACCCTAAACCCTTCTTTGAATGCTTCCATTTGTTTTTTGTGCCGTGTCAGTTATTCATCTATTTATCATTTATTTATTTATTCATTTATTTATTTATTTATTTATTTATTTATTTATTTATATTTTAAATTTATTTATTTTATAATTTATTTTTAAACCAATTTATTTCTTTTTATTCTTCCTTCAAACCCCCAGGCGCTTTCCGCTTTTCTGTCTCTTGCCTCTCCTCATTTTAGGGTTTAGGGTTTAGGGTTTAGGGTTTAGGGTTTTGTTGGCCGTTATTTCCGCGTCTTTCGTTTCACGTCCTTTACCTCCTTTTGTTCAAAGCCTTTATTTTACCTTCATTTTAATTTATTTATGTTTACGGTTAGGGTTTAGGGTTTAGGGTTTAGGGTTTAGGGTTTAGGGTTTATGAATTTGAGTTGGTTTTGTTTGCAAATTGCATTTTGAATTGATTTGATGTTCATCTATCATAAATTAATTAATTTAATTAATTAATTTAATTTTCTTTTACTTTTAATTTATTTTGTTTTCCTCTTCTACACAAACCACCCTACCCCCAAACAACCTGCTGCTGCTGCAGCAACGGGACTTCGATGATAAGTCTGGTGATAAAGCCCAAAGACGAAGTCACTCGAATTAATAAAATGCTCGCCGACGAATTCGGAACGGCCTCGAACATCAAAAGCCGCGTGAACAGACTTTCCGTGCTTTCCGCCATCACCTCCACCCAACAACGTAAACCCTAAACCCTAAACCCTAAACCCTAAACCCTAAACCCTAAACCCTAAACCCTAAA